AGGAAAGAAAGAAAATCTATTTAGAGATTGAGCAGAAGAAGCCAAATGATTCAGTGGTTCCAGTTTTAATCTTAATAAGAGACTGAGGTTTAGAATACGTTAGAATTTCTGTACCACAGAATTGAATTAAATCTGGCTCAGCAGGAATTGAATTACATCAGGAAATTGTTGGAAGGTAGAAGTAGTGTCAATAATAATACTGTAGATCCTTCTTATGATCTAGATACTTCTGAGCATTTTACCTATCATGCTATCTCATTTTTCAATCATCACAAGAACCCACGAGGTATACACCATTTGCCTGTATTACAGATGAGAGAACAGAGGCATCAAAGGGCTAGGCAATTTGCCCAGGCTTGTGCAGATAGTAAGAGAGAAAGCCAATGTTTCAAGCCAGAAAGTCTGATACCTATCTAAGCAACCTCTTAACCCAATAATGAGGGAAAAATACAGGTTAAGACAGAGAAGACAATGACAAATTTAGGAATTTAACTAGGGATATTAAAGGAAAACCAGAAATACAATTCAGCTAACAGCACAAAATTACAATATGTATCAAATACAAAAGATTTTTCAGGTCATCATAGTCCACACCAAATTCAAGTGTCAGTGTGCAACCACCAGGTCTCAAAACCTGCAGAACACAACCTTTTTTCTTTGGGTTTTGTGGAACCCAAAAGTTCCACAGGTGAGCAGGTATTTTAGTGATAGAGGGTGGGGTAGGTAGAGACTTTACTCTCTATACCCGAATGTAGCAAGAGAATTAGTTATTTTAGGAAACTTTACCCTCTTTGTAAAAGATTTACAAAGAAATCTTTGACCTCGCTTCTCCAGTGATGGATTTTTGGATATCCAAACACCTTTGAAAGAATTCTAATCTAGCTGTACATCAAACCCAATTATTTGGCTTACTTTTCTCACAACTGCTTTCTTTAAATAACTGTTGGTGATTTTTACATCATGGACCCAAGTTGATTAAATCATGCAATATCTGTAAATATTAGTACCCTCACTTGTAAAATAAAAGAAAATAATGCAAACTTCAGAGGCAGGGAGAAGAAATCAAACAGGCATATGAAAACTATTAGAATACTTAAAAACCTAAATAAATAAAAGTTCCTCCTATTAATAAATAATAATAGCTTTCATATTTGGAATCCTTGTGATGTATACAGCATTGTATTATTATTGACACATGTTTCTCATTAAATCCTCCTAACAATCTTTAGACAGGGGTCTTTATAGCATCTCTACTCTATAGATGTGGAAAACTAGTCTCTAGTGCCAAACATTAAGTCATGGAGGTAAGCTCAGACAGATTGCCTGACTTCAAAGTGACATTTTTATTATGTAGTTTTCTCTTAATACTTACCAAAAAATACTTCAGGTAAATATTATTACCATGTAACAGTGAGCAGAATTATTATATCCCAGTAGTATAGCAGGTCCCAAAATGTAGTACCCCTGGCTATTTGACATGAAAATGCAAAAATACAGTAAAACCTATGACAACGCTTATTTCCAATATTATCTTTTAGGCATATTTAGTGCCAAATAATCAAGCCTCTTTGCAGAATAAATGTACCAAGTCACATATTGAGTGATTTGTCTCAGATTCCTCGAGACAGTTTGATCTGTGCTATGCATTGTCAAAAAATCTCCGAACTGCGTCCTGACTTGGAAAACAAATTACATGAACAAACTAAGTTTCTCACAAAATCCAAAGGGCTTAGGCTTTACTCTTGCCCTACCTATGATGGACCCACCTGCATTCATCCACACAGTGCAGGCTCAAAGTCCGTAGGATACCCTCTGAATTTAATGGAATACTTACACAATTATCTCTATGTTCTCTACAACTCTTCTGGTAAGTACTTAGGTCAATTTTTTGAAAATAAATATAAACCATAAATTATAAGGAAACGTAATCTGCATTCATCTCTTCTTATATGGGTATAATTAAATATAATATTTTATTGGTCATATCAAATGTCACTCCAGTTAATTTCAACTACGTAGATAATACAGTTTAACTTAGAGTAACCTATCCCCAATAAGACATTTTCTAAAATAAAATGCTGTCTTAAAAATTTTCACTCTTTTGTTGTTGTTGTTGTTGTTGTTGTTGGACTTTAATCTTTACTTTGGATTTTGAACTTTCCCTTAGTGCTGTTCTTTACAGGCAAACATTGTGATTTCTGTTGCTCTGGGAAATGCAATGCTTATATTGTAGCACTATCAGCTTTATCATGTCATTTTCAAAAGTACTGCAGGGTACAGTGGTACACACTTGTGATCTCAGCTACTGGGGAGACTGAGGTAAAAGATTTCAAGTTCGAGAATCTGCCTGAGAATAAAAAACAGGTAGCACAGTGGTAGAGTACCCCTGGATTCAATCCCCAGTACTGCAAAAATAATCAAATAAAAACATTGTGATCTTGTATTCTTATTCTACATTTTTAACATGTTTGTGTGGTATTAATATAGTTTTTTAAAGTGTAGCTCAAAATAACTAACAACTACACACATGAAGCATCCGAATAATTTAAATTTCACTTGTTTTTTGAAGCATTCCTAGTAAAACAGAACTTCTCAATTCTTCAGATTAAAAGGATTAAATTACAATGGTGTTTCATGTCTACTTGGAGGAATTTGGATGGAATACCTTTTAATAATAATATTTTCTCCAGACAGAAGATAAAATTAGCAGTGAACGAGTTAAGAGGAAATGTTTAAAGTAACTCAAAATTACTGAACTAAAGATAAATTCCCAAAGCTTATCAAAAAAGGAAAAGTTAAATAATATTTACCAGTCTAATTAAACTGGTGGATTTGGGAAAGCAAAATAGCTTCTTTGTGAGTTGGATACACAGTGTTCCAGTAGAGGGCTCCACAAGACTGAAGGATGTTAACACTCAGCCTTAAGGAGGTCCCTGAAGTGAAGCCATTTTTACCATGACATATAGCAGAGTAAATAATATTTCAAAACTCAGCCCAAGCATCTTACTTAACCCCATACAGTAAATTGAGACTAAAAAAAAGTAAAGGTACATATATAAGTATATATGTATCTTTATAATGTGTGTTTGTACATATAACCGATTTTTATTATAGTGGGATTTCTAGCTTGATTTTTGCACTCTCAAAGTATATGTAAACTAGCTGGCTTCCCTAGACCCTTGTCTGATGATACAAAGCAATCTACTGTCTGAGCTGCAGGACACATGTGGACAATAGAAGCTGTTTCCTTGGAAACGACTATGTGAAAGCTCTTGGAACATCCCCTCCCTAGGAATTAATTTGTTTCAGATGGGGAAAGGTGATTACTTATGAAAGAGAGAGAAAGAGACGGAGACAGAGAAGCTCACAGGTTTTTCTTTCTATTGTCATTGTAATTTTTTTAATGTAGAATAGATGACAACAGCAAGGGTAAATATTAATGACATTGTCACCATCAAAATTAAAAGTCTATGACAGCTTTTTACCTATACATAAAAGGCATAGTAAGGGTAGAATAGAAAAAAAAAAAAAATCTCTGGGTTGGACCAAATTAGTTGAAAGTGCATTGCCTGTCTTTCCCAATTCGTTGGAAAATTTCCAATGTTCTGCTTTTCTTAATGCTGATCATTATAAAGTGCAGATGTTTACCACTTGGATAAAATTACCTATAAAAGATAATGAGCTGTCATATAATAAAGATGGAATTTGTGACCCATTGATTTGGACCATTTTTCCAGTTGTAATGAAACATTTGTCCCTCTGTTTTGCTTGCTGTCTTGCCTGTCTTGCCTTGTCTTCTAGCATGTATTAAGACGCATGTTGAGTACATCCTTCTGAAAGCTTCCTCAATTCTGAACACATGGAAGCAGGTCTTGGGTCAGGCTCTATTCATTGATTGGTAAGTTGCTGGCATTGCTGATCATAGCTTAGTTTTGGTTTGGAACTACAGAATTCCATAAATCAAATCAAATTCCTCTATATGTGGAAGAAACTTAGGATCTACCCTTTTTATTACTTTTTATCTGATGAACAATGCTAACTAGGGAAGAGAGAGCTCAACAAAACTTAAGAGGACTCAGCTAAAACAAAACACAGTAAATCATTTCAGCACCCAAGTTTATCAAAGAGCAGTGACTGTGTTAAATTTTACAGAGCCTCTTAGTTCATTCAATAAGGTCTAATATAAGAAAGTGTACATGAAACCAAAGTATGTTAAATTAAAATGGAAGCCAGGGTTGGTGATATAGCTCAGTGGTAGATCACTTGCCTATCATGCACCAGGCCCTGGGTTTGAGTACCACAAAAAGTAAAACATATTAAAAAGTAAACAATAAAATAAAAACCAGATGTTTCCTTCATGTAAATATTATGCATTTGGATAGAGGGCACTGATATTATCTGATATCTTTTTCTACATGTTTCTAGGATTTTATACAAATTTACATTTTAAGAACTTTGTAAATATTTTTTTAAATGACTGGTTAACAAAGTTCTTTTCTTGTTATTCAATCATATGGTCATGTAAGATTCTTAAGGAATTCTCATGAGAAGAAAATATTGATCTTTAGGGATATTGATTTACATCATTCAGAAATACTCAATCCCATGGGTTTTTTTTGTTGTTTTTGTTTTGTGTTTTTGGTACTGGGGATTCAACCCAGGAGTGTTCTATCTGTTGCTGGGATTATAAGAGGGAGCCACCACATCTGGTTTCAATCTCATGTCTTAAAGATAATGTAACATGCTCTAAGCCAATAAATACAGAATATTATATGGATAAATTATCATTAAATTCAATAAATTTTGATCATTCAAATAGTTATTGTTATTATTAAGAAGGTGGTACATTTAGTTTATGATAATTATGGAATTTTTAAACATCACCAGCTTTCATAGAAAAGTTTGTTTGCTCAGGTCAGGGATATAATTCAACTAAATAAAATATAAATCCCTCTGGCCACAGTGGTGCATGCCTGTAATCCCAGTGGCTCAGGAGGCTGAGGCAGGAAGGATTGCTAGTTCAAAGCTAGCCTCAGAAATGGTAGTGCTAAGCAACTCAGTGAGACTCTATCTCTAAATAAAATACAAAATAGGGCTGGGGATGTGGCTCAGTGGTTGAGTGCCCCTGAGTTCAATTCCTGGTATCAAAAAGGAAAAATATATACATTTTTTTTTCTAAATTTGATTTTCTAGACCTCTGTGTACTGTTTTAATATACTCTTTTAAACTTTGACCTCTACAAAATCATCATTGCAAATTTCATTCTAGAAAACTCAAATATTATTTTCCAACAGTCCATGAATTTTCCTAGATTTATACATTTCTCATACTATTCTTTCCACTGGGAATACACTTTGATTAAACTCCTACTTAAGTATATTTTCCTGAAATTTTCTTCTCTTTTTTCACTCTCAGTATTGGCTATCGTTGTAACAAATGACCCACAAAACTTAACAACTAAAATAAAATAATAATTATTATGTCATCATTTATTTTATCAGGAAGCTGGGCACATATTAGTTGGGTACCTCTGTCCCAAAGACAGGACTGTCACTAGACTGCAGTCAAGGTGTCAGCAAGATTGAGGAAAGAGCCCACTTCCAAGTCACACACGTGGCTGTTGGCAGGATTCCATCCACCTTGAACTACTGGACTGAATCTGAGATCCCTACTGGCTGTTGACTGGAGGCCACAGTCTATTCCTTTCCCTACATAAGACTGCTCACAGCAACATGGGTTGTTTCAAATGAGCGAGCAAATGAGCCATTAAGAGAGGACAAGCAAGATAGAAGCTGCCATATTTTTGTAATATAATCTCAAAAGTAACATCTAATCACCTTCACAGATTCTATTACTTGAGAGACACTCAAAGGGTGACAGTACTGCACAAGGATGTGACTATTAGGAAGCCCAGATCTCTAGGAGCCTTGTAAGATGCTGTTTGTTAACCACACTCTTCAGTTGCCATTTCTTTTTGTTTCTCTCAGACCATACAAACCATTCTTTGAATTCCCATACTAGTTGATTAGCTTCTTTTTTGTGCCATTAATCATCTTTATCTTTTTAATTGAACTCTGCTGCACATCTTATCTGTTTACTACAGTGTTTAATTCTCAATTATGTTTTATCAATTGATGCATGTAATAGTCCTAATATAGAATCTTTGACTAAATATTGTTGAATGGTTTCTAACTCTGTCAGAATCCTGTCTAACCACAGGCAAACACCTTAAATAACATGAATACTCTATCCACTAAAACCAATACAATTTTCAAAATAATCAATAAAAGAAAAGTTATAAAATGATTGCATTCTTATTTTCACTTCCTGGACTTGAGGTGTGCTGCTGTTGTGTTGTGTTTGACCAGTGCCATCTTCCTTAACAAACTCAACAATAAAAAAAAGAAAATAAAAATAAAAAATAAAAATTATATTATTCGAAAAAAAATAGTCTTAAGATCAGGAAACACATCTAATGGGACTTTATTAGTATTTACCTAGTTTCTACAAAAAAAAAAAAAAAAAGCACTCAACATTCATAACGTCACAGTCACATAGCTTTGAGGTAAGCAGATAAGAGGTTTTGTTTTGTTTTTTTGCCAGAGGGGCCACTGAGGAGTGTGGCCAGAGGGCAGAATCTAAGATGGTTTCCAGGGTTTCCAGTGATCTCAGCTTCCTAATATCCACATTGTTGTGCAATATTCTACTCTTACAGGGTTCTCAATTAAGGCATAGATGCAAAACTTGCTGTAAAATTACTAGAAACTCATAAAAAAATAGGATTGGTATGTAAACTAACACTTATTTGAATATATTTAAAATGCATTATGTACATTAGATAATACTGTCTTAGCAGACATGCTTTACTTATTTTAAAAGAATCTGATGCTGGCCAGTCACAAATATATGACTATTATAAACAGCTTTCAAATAACAGTGATTATTTAGCTCCTTTAAACATAGTTGTTTCTTTATTTGTTTCCTTTAAAATCATAAAGCCAACTTTGAATAATTATGCAATCAAATTATGAATGGGTCATATTGCTTCTCTAATCTTTACACTTAGCATCAAAGAAGAACAGCACTGTGCTTGATTTGAATCCTTGATAATTTTTTTTCTCCCAAAGGCGTTGTTGATTGGTAAGTCAATGGAATTGTTGGTGATGTTACAAAAGCATCCAGAGAACCCTGTCCCACATGGTACAGGAGAACTGTCATAAATTAAATGCACCATCTGCTGCTGTTTAAATAAAATAATGGTTAAAAGCTTCGCATAGCATATACAAACTTCAAAAAACATATTTTTTCCTACAAATAGAAGAGCTATAAAATTTGATTCAAAAAATAAAATGGAGGAAACCACAAAGTCCTTGAATTCCCTCTTGAGATTGAGTTAGAATCCAGATCTTTCTGAATTCAATTCCTTTTTTACATTTTGCATCAGATCTTTAGTTGATCTGGTTTCCCAAAAGATATAAGTTTCGCTTTCATAATTCATTCCCAGTTTGGCCTGGAATAAGATAGCTTACCTCCACATTCTTGGCAAGAAACATTTCTTTGCTGGAAGAAAAGTTCACCTCTTAACTGAATGTTTGGCTAAAGATCAGGAAAAAAATAAGATCCGATTTCTTTTACAGTTGACTTCCTTTTTCATATGAGCCTTACACAGGATTGTCTTTATTCTTCACTCCGTCGGCAGGAATATAATAAATTATGCCAGTTCCTGTTGATCTATCATCCTTAGGAATTCTTAAACATGTCCCACAAATAATGTATCTTTCAGTTCATTTAAATCTGGCAGTTTGAGAATTTATTCATCTCAAACAAAGGATGTGAATAATGAGTCTTCACTTCCTAAGAGGCCCAATGTACCAACTGCCTTTAAACTGGAATTTGATTTTCCATGTTTCTAAGTAGTACCAATGTTCTTTCTTTACAATGTTGCTGACTCCTCAGTCTTAGCCTCTTTTTTCCTTTTGTCTTCTCTCTCTCTCTCTCTCTCTCTCTCTCTCTCTCTCTCTCTCTCTCTCTTTTCTTCTAGGCCTGCAAAGTTCTCTCTCCCAATTTTTAAACTGTTGTTGCTTTTCTTATGCAAGTTAACAACCCCTAAAAATCCACCTTCCTTTCCACCCCAACGGAAGAGGGAAAAGGCATGGAGGAAAGAGACAGAGAAAACTCTAGTTTCTAAAGCACATTTGTATGAAGACAATGATTATATTTAAGTAAGGTTAATGTTAAAGTTTTGCTGTGCCACTGTATGAGTGAGATAATTGAGTTAAGTAAACATAAATAATACTCTCCTATAAAAAGACAAAATAACTGCATTATTTTAAATCTTAAGATTCAAAAGGGAAAACATACTAACAAAAATGGTACTTAACAAAATATAGCAATTGTTGAAATGACAGAAGTGATTTTTTGATTGACTTTAGAATACAAAAGGGTATACTATGTGAGAATTCTTCTGTTATTACTCCATTAAGAAAGAGAGAAAGAGAAGACCCATGTCCACCATGACTAGTATTGTGTACCACTATGGAATCTAGTACAATGTCTTGACCATTGCAGTCTCTCTAGCACTACTTTCATTAGTTTGAAGTGAGTTTTTATTTGAGGAAAAAAATAAATAAAAAAACAAATGGAGTCCTTGAAGTTTCAGTAGTAACAAAGATCTGTGTAATATTTCAGGAAGAATGTTTGAAAAGAGAAGAAAAAAAATGAAGAGATGTGCCAGCAGGGTAAGGTCAGGTAAACAATAAATATACAAGTTAGCTTAATGAAATTTCATATAGGAAATTGGTTAAACAAGTACTGAAGTACTACAAGGGCAAAAAAAAAAATTACACTGAGATTCACATGCAGAACTAATGAAAGAAAAGGAAGATTGGCCATGAGGCTATGGAAGTTGGCGGTGGTCCTCAGAGGGTTGTACCTGGCAACCTCTAAAGAGAGGCTCTGTTCACCTGTCCTGGTATGTTAGGATCTCTGAGGAGGAAGCTCATGGTACTGAACCTGCACCTCTAAGAAGCTGGGCACCATGTGGCTGTTGTTTGTCTCCCTGATGTTTAGGGTCTACACGTAAAACAAACACAGCAGTGGGTATCATTGGTAGAGACATCTCCTGTTTAAGAGGGATGAAGAATTGTTGCTGATAGATAGCAAGCAAAAAGGGACAAAAAACCTCCCCTCTTCTTCCTCCAGCCTTCTAATCTCTTGTCTTTGACAGAACCTAACAGGAGATGTAGCTTGCAGAGGCCAAAGTCCACAGTCACAAAACAGAATTACAAGTCTGTGAGAGACAGGAGCTCAGTGGCTAATACAATAGAGTAGAGGGAACAAACAGAGCAGGCAAGATGGGCCACAGGACTGGAGAACTGTCTGGGTGTGTGCAGTGATCCTCATCCATCTGAGGATGATAGTTGGGAAATCCCAGGAGGACCTTTGTCCTTCAGGGAACCTTGACATCTGGTCCAGACTTCTCTCTCCATATCATTAAAGTCACTTTACTTACCTAATCCCTTTGTTAAGATATTGATGGTTCCTCATTGCCTGCAGACTGAAATTTGGCTATTTTACCCTCATAATCTTCCTTCCATCCTTTCTTATCTTTCCTTCCCTTCCTCAAAAGGGCAGAGATCTGGCAGTTACATAAATCTCTTTGGCTAGTCTTGGCATGGGCAAACCTTTGGACATAATGTTCTGTCTTTCCAGTACACTCTAATTTACTATTCGGAACAGAGTTGGATTGTCCCCTACAAGTGACTCCCATCTGGGTGGTCCAGCACTTGGATCCCATCTATTATTAATGATCTGTGATCCTTATTTTAGTTTTCTGACCTCACACCACCCCTCTTTCTCCCTAGTTTACTCCATTAGTCAGGCTTGCCTGTATGTTCTTATCTCAGGATTTTACACTGGATTTTCTTCTTCAAAGATTCTTCCCCCTGGTTTCTCTATGGATCTCTCCTTCTTTTCTTTAACTCTGCTCAAATTGATCCTCGTGATGAAGTTTTTCTTGACCAGTATTAAGAACTTCACTAAACACAAAACCACTTAACCTTTACTCTCTATCCTTTTTCTGCTTTATCTTTATCTTTACATTGTCCTGATCACTTTATCATGTACTACTAAACCTATTTCATAAGCATTTGCTACATGAAGGCAGGTCTTTGTTCTGTTTCAGTTGTGCTTCATCCACTGCATTCGGGAACACGGTCAGCCCCAATATAGACCTCAGAAAACAATGTTGAATTAAAGAATTGGGGATAAATAAAACATTGCAAAGCACCGGGGTAATGTCAGCTTTCTGTCTCTGTGGTCAAAATGCCTGAAAAGAACAGCCTGGAGAAGGAAAGATTCATTTTGGCTCATGATTTCAGAGGATTTAGTTCATATTCTTCTGTTTCCATCCCTCTGGGTCTGAGGCAAAGGAGAACATCATGGAAAAATGGCATGGTGGAGGAAATATCAGCTCATAGCAGACAGGAAGTTTAAACAGTGAGAGGGAGAGGACTCGAATGATGGATGTAGTCCACAGGCCATGCCCCCAGTGGCCTACTTCCTCCAGCCATGTCCCACCTGCCTGTAGTTTTTACCACCTCCCAGTAAATTCCTTCAAATTATTAATTCTCCAAATGGATTAATCTACTTAATTAATGGATTAACTAGTGATGAGAAAATGCTAGCTGCTAAAGAAAGATAATGAAGAGGGAAAACAAAAAGAGGATGGTGAATTCAAATACTTTGTAAAGATATTATTCCTTAAATTTGCCAGAAGAGATGGAAATGAAAAGTAAAGGGTTTTTTTTGTTTGTTTTTAAGAAAAGGATTTGGAATGTGTTAAAAATTATAAAAAAATAATTTTATATTTTTTAGAAAACATTGATGAAAAGGAGACAGTTGATTTTGAGTATTTCTAATATGGTTAAGCTTAAAAAAAAAGAAATAATGTCCTCTGATATTGGAGGAAAAGCAGAAAAGGGGTGGGAAATGTTTTTGTTTCACATACATTGGAGAAAAGATAGCCTCTTCATCAAATGGTGCTGGAAAACCTGTAAATCCATATGTAGCAAAATGAAATTAAGCCCTATCTCTCACCCTGAACAAAACTCAACCCAAAGTGGATCAAGGACTTAGGCACCAGAATGGAGATTCTGAACCTAATAGAAGAAAAAGTAGGCCCAAATTTTTATCATATCTACTTAGGAACTGCCTTCCTTAACAAGATCTCTATAGCACAAGAAGTAAAATCAAAAATCAATAAATGGGATGGAATTAAACTAAAGAGCTTTTTCACACCAAAGGAAACACTGAATAACCTGAAGAGAGACCCTACAGACTGGGAGAAAATGTTTACCACATGCACCTTAGACACAACATTAACCTTCAGAATATATAAAGAACTCAAAAAAAAACTAACACCAATAGATAAATAAATAAATAAACCAATCAATAAATGGGCTAAGGAACTGAACAGACACTTCACGGAAAAAGAAATACAATCAATAAACATATGAAAAAATGTTCAACATCAGTAGCAATTAGAGAAATACAAATCAAAACTGCAGTGAGATTTCATCTCACTCCTATCAGAATGGCAATTATCAAGAATACAAGCAAACAATAAATATTGGTGAAGATGTGGGGGAAAAGGTACACTTATACATTGCTGGTGGGACTGCAAATTTGTATAACCACTATGAAAAGCAGTATAGAGATTCTTCAGAAAACTTGAAATATAACTACCATTTGATCCAGTTATCCTACTCGTATACCCAATGAACTTAAAATCAGTAAACTACAGTGATGCAACCACATCAATGTTTATATCAGCTCAATTTACAATAGCTAAGCTATGGAACCAAACTATGTGTCCTTCAACAGATGACTGGATTAAGAAACTGTGGTATATATACAATGGAATATTACTCAGCCTTAAAGAAAAATTAAATTATGGTATTTGGCAGTACATGGATGGAGCTGGAGAATATTATGCTAAGTGAAAAAAATCCAGCCCCAAAGAACCAAAGGCCAAATGTTTTCTCTGATATGCAGATGCTAATTCATAATAAGGATAGAAGGATAGGGAAGAATAGACGTACTTTGGATTAGACAGAGGTGAGTTAAGGGAGGGGAGGGGTTTGTGGGTAAGGAATGAGAGTAGAATGAATGAATAGGACATTATTCCCCTGCGTGCATATATGATTACACAACCTATGTGAGTCTACATCACATACAACCAGAAGAATGAGAAGTTACATATTCCATGTATGTATGGTGTGTTAAAATGCATTCTACTATTGTGGATAACTAATTAGAACGAACTTTAAGTGACAGAAAAAACATAGCGGTGGGAAGCAAGTGAGCCACCCTGAGCCCCACACTGCCGGGTCCCCAGATCTCAACTAGTCAGAATACTCCATCTCTGAGAGTGTTAGAGACTGCCTATTCAGCTGCTTTCCACAGAAATCACCAGCGCTGTGACCCCATGTGGGGCTCCGGGTCTCAGCATTTGAATAGGAAGTCTAGAATTCGAGCAGGACACAAAGCCCAAAGTTCTGGCCCATGAAAGACTCGGGGAGCCCCTTAGCAGAATCACCTACCAACACATCTGCAGGTCACCAAGACTTCGCTCTGCTCCCTCGCAGGTCACTCAGCTGCTACCTACCCACAGCACAACGCCATCGCCCAGCTCCCCCCACCTCACCAGGCTCACCCCAACTCAGCAGACTCCTCCCCCCTCAGCAGATTCCTCCCCCCATCAGCAGACTCCTCCCACCTCACCAGACACCCTGGAGCTTAAGGCAGACCGCCGCCATTTTGACTCAACATTCTTGCCATATTAGCTAGGAGCAGTTCCCAGATCAGATTTCCAGTGGCCAGGTACCAGGTTTCCAACCTTCCCTCCTCCCCAGCGTCGGTAACCCAACACAGTAGCTGCCCAACACAGGTGTGCAGTGCCACCAGGGAGCTGCTCACAGGAGCCCCAGGGGGAGAGGGAGACCGGGAAGTGTGTTAACAGAGCTTAACAGAGAGACCAGGAACTGGGAAATCTCCAGGCAAGAGAGGGAGATAGTACCGGGCACTCAGGTCATATGAACAGTCCCAAAAAGAGACCCGTGAGATGCAGTCTTTCTGCAGGGATTGGTGGGTGCCACTCCCCACATCCAAGCGCCCTGTGCCAGGACCAGTCTTTCCACCCTGGTTACCTCCACCATCCAGAGAGCAGAGACACTAGCTTATAACACATGACCCCCCCTATTGGATGAGAAGAGAAGAAGGAAAGATACAGATCTCTAAAGCTAGCTACAACCCTGGTTTCTTCTTTTGAGTTTCTTGTTTGTTTGTTTGTTTTTTCTCTTCTAACCCTTTATCCTCCAACCCTCACATCCCCAACATATATGAAAGCAAGAACTCTGCATGAAATAGGACTTTGAGGACTGAGTCATCTGAATAATGTAATACAGAGGTGTTGTATATGCCCTTTTTTTCTTTTCCTTTTTATTCTTTCATTTTTCTTTTCCCCTCCAAATTTTACTGTTTTAACATCTGTATTTTTCTAAATACATATGTGTGTTTGTTTTATATACTCTACTGTCATCCCGTGTACTTGCCTACCCTAAATTACTTCCTGTCTATTCTCTTGCTACTAACCCTCTTCATTAGATTTCTGCTTCACACTTCCTGAGGTATATTTCTCTATATCCTCACATCCTACCTCCTCAGCATATCATCCTAT